ACTTCAACGACTCTATATTTCTTGTTGGAAGGAGGAGATACAGCCACCCATGTCCTCTGTCACCTGTCCTTCGGGGCAGACACAGGGACTCGCTTGCAGCAGACCAAAGCCCTGCCTGTGTTGGACACCTCTTCCCAACGTACCCGGTGTGCTGTTCTACAAACCCTGTCTGCACTGTAACCCAGGCCTGTCTCTTACGAATGCATTGATGCAGTCACTGGGCTTTCTGGCAGCTGGTGTGTAGTTGATGGGGGGTGGGGAGGAAGTCTGATATTGGCCAGGTTTCCTTTAAGGGAAAATTGCCGTCCAAACCTGATGGAGTGGTTACCCCAGCCTAAGCAAGGCAATCAGAACTGGTAGGACAAATACCAGTAGGTATATAACCATAATAAAAGAAATGAAGCCACATCCCTGGAGGGCTAGGGTTGAGCAGCTATCAGCATCCTGTCATGCTTGTGATAAATGATCTGAAGCTTGGAGGAGGGAAGGGGGAAGCAGAAAGACCTTGTGCAATGAAATGCTTCAGCACCAAGCCCAAAGGAAGGAGAACAGGGACGGCCTGGTCACTGCCCATCCCCTCCCACCTTCCTCTTCGCTGGCTGCTTCCAGCATGCCATTTGTGATGGAGGTTAAAACGAAGTCCGTAGTTGCTCTTCCTCCACTCCGGTGTCTGTCTGCTCTGCAAGCTGAGAGTGGTTGTTGAAAGCCTTCCCACTCCGAACTCCCGGTGTGGCTGCCCACAGGCCTCCCTCCTGCTGCGGCTGCAAGGAGCCGAGGCTGCTGTCCGCCCAGGGATGCGGGGGACACAGCTCCCTGATGTGGCAGGGACCACGCGAGGTTGCGTGGGTAGCTTTCGTAGTCCAGTGTCCTGCCCCATGCCAGTCAGGCATCTTCCTTTGTGGTACAAAACCAGGGAACAGCATTGTCCTGGGGTGTTTGTTTTTAACTGAGGCAGTTAATGGTTTGCACGTATTCATACCTAAGGGTTTGCTATTTTATTTATCCAGTATACTGCAAGGGGGAGAGTGATCGTCTTGAATGCTGCACTTCTGTAGGGCGCCTGTTCTTCAGATACTCTGGGGAGGATGGATAGCAAGGAGAGGGAGAGACCACCTGGACCCCCCTGGCAGCAGAAGATGTATTCCCATGTATTCAGGGAATGACTCAAGTTGCATGTTTTGACGTGATACATGCGGTAACTCATGGGGAAAAGAGGTGTTGCGCAGACCTCGGCAGTGCTGTCCGCAGAGGAGCAGGCAGCACAGTCCCCCTCTCCACGGGGAACTGGAGCAGATCTGCCTGCTCCCCTGCTCCGTCCGGATGCCGAGCCCCTGAGACTCTTACTGATGAATGCAGATTATCCGATTGGATCCAAATATTTCTCCCAACCTCTGAAAGAAATCCAAACCAAGACAGCAAATACAGGGGCTGGACTGCAGGTACCAGATTGCTGGCTTGTCAGTGTTTTGGCTGTATCTAGCCCCATATTTCATTATTAAAGGATTTGTTTTGTTTTTCTTTTCTTTTTTTGCTTATTTTGACCCTGAGTGTGCAGGTGCTTTCAACCTCTTGACAATCCAGAGTGCAGTTGCTCTGGATAACACATTGAAGGCACACGTGCTGTATTGCATTGGAGCCCATGCAGGTCTGCGTTACTCAGCAAACATTGGCAGCAGTGGTCAGATGAGAAACCTGATAATAAATCTGTTGTGAGGGTCAAGAGGGGACAACATCACCTTGCAGTAATCCAGTTTAACCACTGAGGTATGAGAGCTGTACGAGGATGGAAAAGCGAGAGCAAACTTCAACTCAGCTTTATTTTAGTGTTTAGAAGTAACACTGACAAGGCGTAGATTCTGTTTATTACTTTGGCATCTGCACGGAGTTGGATGCTGCATTCCCATCCATCCCTCACAGAACCAGATTTTAGAAGCAGTTTCCCTGGACATGGAAAACAGAAGTGTTGTCGAGTATCTTCTGTGAAAGTTCACTTGTCAGATCTTAGGCAGTCTAGTTTCACCATGTAAAAGCTGAGGCAGGATAAAATGCTGCACGGTGCTTCTTACCTTGTTCCGCACAGACATGTTAGCAAATTCACCTCCACATATCGGCACAGTTACAGTGCTTTATTTTTGCTTTTCCTGGGGGGGGGAACCAGTTATTCCCCACTGCTAGCTGTCCTGCTAGGTACAGCAAGGAGTGAAAGTGCTGATGTGCCGCCTTCTCCTGTTGCTCAGTCTCATCCCTTCCGTTTCTTTGTCTTATTTTAACAGATATTTGGGTTTTTTTCAGTGACTTTCTTGGCAGTATTCCCCAGTAGACTGTCAGCTAATCATGGGGCCATGTAGGGTCATGTGTGGCCCGTGAATTGTTTTTCACTCTGCTTAGGAGCCTGGCTGGTGTTTACTACCTGTAGCAACTGCTGGGTGGAAATCACCTGTGCCCTTTATGAACAGCCTAAGAATTCAAAACCATAGGCAGTTTTCTGAGCATCTCTGGGTAGGCTTTCAAGTGGCAAGGTTGTTAAAAAGAAAACAACATGCTGTCTTCTGTTTTTTTGAATTTGAATTTAAAATTTTCCTGTGTGACAAGGGAGGCTGGAAACATTCTCTGTTTTGAAGATCTCATGTTCTTGTATATATATGTTCATGACTTTGGGAGACAGGTCATTTAGAGCACCACCAGGTTAGGGCACACTGTTCTGTCATGGCAAATAATATTTTGTGGAAGAATGCATACTATTTCTTTAAAAATGGAGCCTGGGGGAGACGAGGGAGAGTTCTTGGCAGAAACTTTTGCATGAAGCAGTGTGATAGAGCAGCCAGGCAATATATTGTATGCTAATAAAGTTCCTTCTTCAGTGTGAAAAGTGTATGCTTTGTGAGTGGCAGCGGGTCTTTTCTTTATCTTTTGACATTCTAACTTGACCTATAATGAGGCATCCACCAGCATGCCTTTTCAGTCCTTTCCAAAGAGCTGCCAAAACTAAAGAGATTTTTTTGAGAATAATCTGTGACCCAGCAAGGTTGGCTGTAAGGTTTGTTTGTTTTTTCTCTCTCCTGCTGGTTCCTACTATTCTCTTACTCCCACATCCTATCTGACTCTTGTTTTCAAATGCATTCTTCAGCCTTCTCCTTCCCTACCTACTGCATCCTGTGTTCTGCTTTCTGACTTCCTTCTCTTTATTCTTAGAGCTTTTCTTTCCAGTTCCTGTTTGTTCTGGTCCCCGAGGAGCAAGGAGTGAAACATTAACAGTTGCTGGAGGACCAAGTTAATATGGCTGTTGTTATGAGTTTAGAGTTCAGGTGAGGGCTGCAGGGGACATCCTTTGTGTACAATTTTGTGCCCCGGAGCTCTTTGCACTGCTTCATTGCTGGGGCAGCAGAGAGGAATGTGTATCTGTGCTTCACCCACTACCATCTACAGTCCAGCATTTAAGATAAAAATACTGATAATAGTCGATCTTTGCTAAGATACGGATGTTCGAGTTATTGCAAGTTAGTTAACAGGTGGTCAGTTGCTCTGCTATTAGCACTTCACTGTGTGTCTCTGTTACAAAGAAGTTGAAAAGCTTCAGACATAGTGAAAGTCTGAAGCAAAGCAAATGGGTTTGAATCATCACATGTGTCTTGATAGGGGATATGGGATTTGCAGGTACTTTGACAGCAGTTTGAAAAAAATGTCATTTCACAGTAAATTCAGCGTGCGTACCTGTGTCTTTTCTAAGTCGTATTGCTGCTTTTACAGTAAGGCTCCTACATTAGTAGGGGATATATCCCTGTGTTATCTGTACCTCTTTGTCAGTTGAGGATCACCGTCCTCATAAATCTGTGCTTACAGTAAGTGCAGGAACTTCCTGTGCTGATGTCAACGTATCCTGCATATAAATCACAGACATAAAATACTTATATTACTAATAATTTCATGAAATGTTGCATGGGTAAGGCTGGAAAATGTAGGTCTTTATTATCTTTCTGAGCATACACCTAATTTGTGTATCATGAGCTTTTATATTGTCTGAAAATACAGCTTTACAGACTATATAAAGAAGAGCATTTTCCAGCTGAGGTTAGCTGTAGCCAGAGGTTTGATTAGTCTGACCCTTGCAGTCCACAAAATCTACTGTTGTAAATGGAAATGTGCCTGGAGAAGAAACATTTTAATAAATAGTCATTGTGCTGGCAAATTTATCTTCCTGCTAATTTCTTATGCCTGTGATGCCCAGATGGTTGTCAGTTGTGTGCTAATGTAATCTGTCCTGCTGGTTTATTTATAACCAGGATTGATCCATTTATGTACGGCTGTATATAGCAATTAGTTTTCATTTTTTATCTTATTTTACACATTTTTGTGTCTGCAAGACATAAGGAGGAATCCACCTTGTAAAAGAAGTTTGGGCGAGAGGAAATGGACTCAAGTTGTACCAGAGGAGGTTTAGATTGAATATTAAGAAGAACTTCTTCACCAAAAGGGTTGTCAGGCATTGGAAGAGGCTGCCCAGGGAAGTGGTGGAGTCACCATCCCTGGAGGTATTTAAAGGACATGTAGAGGTGGTGCTTAGGGACATGGTTTAGTGGTGGGCTTGGCAGTGCGAGGTTAAGGGTTGGACTCGATGATCTTAAAGGTCTTTGCCAACCTAAATGATTCCATGATTCAGTGATTGCTGAGTAGATATAATATTCCAACAGGACAGGTATATACTTTTACCAACATCATCCTAACAGAGAAATAAATATAAAGGAATTAAAACCTGATGTATTTGTAATCTATGCTTTTCAGATTTCTAGATGATTTTATATAGTTTTCAGTTAACTTTTGTAATTTAAAATATTTGGTTTGGGAACGTAACTGTAGCAGGTATTTCTCTCTTGAAAGACTATCTAGATTATTAATGAAAAAATTGATAAAATGAAGGTGATTTAAAAAATGGAGAAATACACCTATTTATATGTGTACATATATTTTAGTTTGATGCACCTCTTCTAACTTGTTTCAGGTTGAAGAAACTTCTTGAGCAGGAGAAGATCTATCAAGCCCGGAAGGAGAAGGAACATACAAAGAGACTCAATAAACTAAGAGAAGAACTAGTGAAGCTCAAATCATTTGCACTCATGCTGGTGGATGAAAGACAAATGCATATTGAACAACTTGATCAACAAAGCCAGAAAATACAGGACTTAAACCAAAAACTAAAGGAAGAAGAAGAAAAGCTTAAAATTATTAGTGCAAAAACAAAAGAAGATGGACAAAAACTGATGAAGTTAGAGACAGAACTTGAACACAAAACATCATCATTTTCTCAAGAACATGAGGAGATGACTGCTAAGCTGGCTAATCAGGAATCCCATAACAGACAGCTGAGGCTTAAGCTGGTGGGGTTGACTCGCAGAATAGAGGAGTTAGAAGAAACTAACAAAAATCTTCAAAAAGCTGAGGAGGAACTTCAAGAACTAAGAGATAAAATAGCGAAAGGGGAATGTGGGAACTCTAGCTTAATGGCAGAAGTGGAAAACCTCCGCAAGCGTGTGCTTGAAATGGAGGGCAAAGATGAAGAGATCACAAAAACCGAATCCCAGTGTAAAGAGCTGAAAAATAAACTGCAAGAGGAAGAGCACCATAGCAAAGAGTTGAAACTTGAAGTGGAAAAATTGCAGAAAAGAATGTCAGAACTAGAGAAGCTGGAAGAGGCTTTCAGTAAAAGTAAGCTTGAATGCACCCAGCTACACTTAAACTTGGAGAAAGAAAAGAATTTGACTAAGGATTTGATAAATGATTTGGAAGTGGTGAAGACTCGAGTGAAAGACCTTGAGGCATCAGAAAACAAGTTGGAAAAGGCTGAAATAAGCTTAAAAGATGACCTTACAAAGCTGAAGTCATTTACTGTAATGTTGGTTGATGAACGAAAAAATATGATGGAAAAAATAAAACAGGAGGAAAAAAAGGTTGAGAGTCTAAACAAGAATTTTAAAGTTGAACAAGGGAAAGTTATGGATGTAACAGAGAAACTGATAGAAGAAAGTAAGAAATTTTTGAAACTGAAATCCGAAATGGAGGAAAAAGTGTCTGGTTTGACAAAGGAAAGGGATGAGTTAATTGGCAAACTGAGAAGTGAGGAAGAAAAATCCTCTGAACTAAGCTGTAGAGTTGACCTGTTAAAGAAAAGAATTGATGGTATGGAGGAAGTAGAAAGAGAAATTACAAGAGGTCGAGCCAGGAAGGGACCAGAGCACGGTTGTCATGAGGACAACAAGATTAAAGAACTTACCATTGAAATTGAAAGACTGAAAAAACGTCTCAAACAATTGGAAGTGGTGGAAGGAGATTTGATGAAGACAGAAGATGAATATGATCAGCTAGAGCAGAAATTTAGGACTGAGCAGGATAAAGCTAACTTTCTTTCTCAACAGCTGGAGGAGATGAAACTCCAGATTGCCAAAACCAAAGCAATAGAAAAAGGTGAAGCAGTGAGCCAGGAGGCAGAGCTGAGGCACAGGTTTCGTCTGGAAGAGGCCAAAAGCAGAGATTTGAAAGCAGAAGTTCAAGCCCTTAAGGAAAAAATCCATGAGCTGATGAACAAAGAAGACCAGCTTTCTCAGCTCCAAGTCGATTACTCAGTTCTGCAGCAAAGGTTTATGGAAGAAGAAAATAAAAACAAGAGCATGGGGCAGGAAGTTCTGAACCTAACAAGGGAGCTGGAGCTTTCTAAGCGTTACAGTCGTGCTCTGAGGCCCAGCATAAATGGACGAAGAATGGTCGATATTCCTGTCACATCCACCGGTGTGCAAACAGATGCTGTAAGCAGTGAAGCAGCAGAAGAAGAAACTCCAGCAGTGTTTATAAGGAAATCCTTCCAGGAGGAGAATCACATCATGAGCAATCTGCGACAGGTAGGCCTGAAAAAACCCATGGAGCGTTCTTCAGTGCTCGAGAGATATCCTCCAGCAGCGAATGAACTTGCAATGAGGAAATCTTGGATACCATGGATGAGAAAGAGGGAAACTGGGGCTCAGGCAACTCCTGATAAAGGAGCCCGAACTCACAGTAGTCCAGTGCATCCTGGGGAGGTTGTCCTTTCGCCAAAGCAGGGTCAGCCTCTTCATATACGGGTGACACCAGACCACGAGAACAGCACGGCTACTTTGGAGATAACCAGTCCAACCTCAGAGGAATTCTTTTCAAGTACCACTGTCATTCCTACCTTGGGAAATCAGAAGCCACGAATAACCATCATTCCCTCTCCAAATGTTATGCCACAAAAAGGAAAAGGCAGTGAAAGTCCCATGGGCCCAGATCGTTCTATGTCTCCAGTCACTATAACAACATTCTCCAGGGAAAAGTCCCCAGAGGGAGGGAGAGCACCCTTCGCTGACAGACCTGCATCACCAATTCAGATTATGACAGTATCAACATCTGCAGCACCGGCAGAAATCTCTGTCTCTCCACAGTCACAAGATATGACGATGGGACGGGCTGTTTTCAAAGTGACACCAGAAAAACAAACTGTCCCAACTCCAATCCGCAAGTACAATGCCAATGCCAACATTATTACGACAGAAGACAACAAAATCCACATCCACTTAGGTTCCCAGTTTAAACGCTCTCCCAGTGCTGCACCTGATGGTGCGAGTCCTGTGATAACAGTCAGACCAGTGAATATAGCAGCAGAGAAAGAAGTTGTGACTGGTACCGTCCTTCGATCGCCCCGGAACAACCTGTCCTCGCGACCAGCAGCGAGTAAGGTGACGAGTACTATCACCATAACGCCTGTTACAACGTCTTCCACCCGAGGAACACAATCAGTGGTAAGCAGCGTAGTGTCACGATGTAGTCTTCACGGTAAGGAGAAGGGCAACCATAGTTTGGGTTTGAGACACCAGCAGGGAAAATTGACTTCCCTACATTTGTTTCTGATCCGAGCTTAACTGTAAAATCAGAATTTGCCCTATTCATACATTTTTGTACCAGTGTTGGACGCTGGTATACTTTTGGCGTTATCTCCTGAAGGAGTAACTTTCAAAGAAGTCCCTTCAAAGTTCCTTTAAAGTTATTTTCATAATGGCAATCCTGTAGAATTGTAAGTGAGAGACAGAGAGGGATGAAGAATGACAGAGGTGACAGTGCAGGAAACGGTATTTTTATTTTTGGTGAGTGCAGTTTCTGACTTCTCAAAATACTCATAATGATTTTTGGCCCAGCTGGCAGGGCTTTAGAGTCTGATCATGCAGGCTGGTATTTCTTTGGTCTAATCCCACTATAGTTACAATTCAATTAATACCTGCTGTAATACTGACCTTGAAAGGAATAAATAGGCAGACATGGTATCATTGCTTACAGCTCCCAGCCTCTTTCAGCTGGTGAATAGAAAAGCTTTTTCTGTTCCTCTGCAATTCTCAGCTTCTGCAAGTGCTGTGTTACAGTCGTGCTTCCTCTAACATATTTTTTGCTACTTTCTCTCTGTGCCTCTCTGGTGGTACCCCGGCTTCTATTTCACACTTGAATCAGTCTCTCACCTCTGTCTTTAAACGCATTGGACAATATTTATTGGTAGTCCACCCCCCAGGTTTATTATTAGACATGGTTTTGCATTGCTTTAGTTGGAAATACCCTGGGAAAGAAGAATTTAACCAAAATAGAAAACCAGCAGTACTGTATTAGTCCAAAAGCTTATTTAGCTAGACAGAGCCTGCAGCAGATGCTTAGGGGAAGATTATTTTAAGTGGGTAAACACACAGTAATGTTTCCCTCAACGTCTGTTCCCAGTTTTTGGCAATAGGTGGGTATTTCTTTCTGAACCAGGGCCTGTAGCCACATCTTTGTGTCTAATAGACTGTGGCGGAGTTTTCTTCTATTTATTCTTCTAATTGCTTTTTGAACTCATTTATACTGTTGTTTCCACAACATCAGGGGGCAGTGAATTCAGTTGTGGGCTCTGGGAAAAATGCTCTTTTGTTTGGTACCTTTTATGCAATACCTTCATTGGTTACAGCCTCTTTCTTGTATCTTGACAAACACTGAATAGTCATCCCCTGTTCATTTTTCTGTGCCGCTCAGGAGTCTGCAGCCCCCTACAACATGCCTCTTCAGCCATCTCTTCCCAAGCTGAGATGTCAAAATGTATTTAAGATACACTTCCACACTTTTGGAGAGAGGCTCCCGTTCCCAGTCGAGCCCTCTGACTTAGAGGAACTTGCATTCGTCATATGGGTCTATTTGGGATTGCACATGCACTCTCTCTCTCCCCCCACATATCTAATGTATTATAGATGCTTCATTGTACAGTGTTTTCCTACATATTAGAGGCAACTGTTTATTTTTTTAAAAGTCTTGAATTAATTAATGTACAAACTCCTTTGTCTCACAGAAGCTTGGAAGACTTTTTTTTTTTAAGAGTTCCTCATTCTTTTTTACTAGATGTCTGTCTCTACTGTGATGATGCACTGAACCATGGCAGACAAAACTTTTTTGATTTGTTTTCATCTGGCTAAAAGTGGCTTCTTTCTTCACTTCATCCTCCATGATTTGGAATGTAAGGAAAAATAGTTCAACCATAAGATTTACTTTATCTTATGCTTCCTTTTGTTTTTTAAGGTCCCTAGTCAGATGAGCAGGGAACTTCGAACAAGCCCAAATGTGCCTTTTCTTCCCTAACCCCCTGAAAAAAAAAAAAGTAGTTGTATATTCACCATCTGTTTTGCAAATGACTGCTTTACAAGCACATTTCAATACCCCTAGTCAGAAAAAACAAGTTGTGATGATTTACTCAGTAACCCTAGAAGAAACCAACATCAATATAATTTTGAGGGTTTAACTTCATAAAATCAAAGAAGACAGACTGATACACGGCTGCTTTCTTAGCTCAGTGGTTTTGTTTTTTTTTCTTAACTCTCCTCACACAAGATGCTTTGTACAATGTACTAACGCAGTGCCAGGCTACAAAGGGGAAAATAATTCTGGAATTCTTAGCTCTCACCTGTTGCTATAACAAATTTGCAGTTACTGTTTTCATATTTCAATACATTTAACTCTTTTAATTTGAATTTATAAAGATATCTTAAATTATATATCTTAAATACTCTATATTTATAGAGTACTGCAGGTGAAGTCAATTTTAAGGTGCAGACACGGTACTTTTAAAGGTTCAGTCTGAACTGTGGTGTCTCCCTGCATACGTGAGTCCAAAACCAGAGACTGTGCTTTCATGATGGACCATCATGATTTTTGAATCCCATGGATTAAGGGGTGTTATGGTTGTGTTGATTTACACTGACATACACTGTAGAGAAGCTAGAGATTGATACTCCCCTGATCCAAATCCTCTTCTGAGTCTGCAGCAGTTTTGATTTAGATAAAATGAGACCCTGATCCAAAGAAAGACACAGGCACCTGAAGGAGAACTTGGGAAATTTTTCAGCACTTAACCAAAAAGATGAACCAAAAAAGGGACCAGTCAGTGTCTGTGTCTCCACTGGCACCTGAACTCACTGGACCCATATGTTTTGGAGGCACTTGTCCTGCCTGCTGCACAAGCCCCGGGCTGGCCAGCTGAGGAGCTGGCCTCCTCACACCAGTCCCACGGGCATCTCCACGGCAGGAGCTGATGCGATGGAGACTGTTTGACCGGTTGGATTGAGTTCAGTATTTAACAGAACCGTTGCCGCTTTGATTAAAAAAAACCCCCAAAAAACGATAACAAACGCTAAGCTGGTAACTGCCTTTTATATGATAGCCTATGGATTTGGGTAATAACTGTCGAAGTGGGAAACATGGGGTTTGGTCCTCCTTAGCTTGATTAGAGTCAAACGCACTCCCAGGAAAATACTTGGCCTACCCTAGCAGACCTAGCAGACCATTTTTTTTAGTACAGATGGACCACAGCACAACCAAAAATTCAACACTGTGAGACCAGAGGATATGCAGACCAAAATGAGCCTGAAACTGTAGCCTGGTTGTTAGTCTGGCCTGAGTACCTCAGCCCAAATCCTGTTCCCAGGACAGTTCATATAGTTTACAGTAAAAAACCCACAGAATAAAAACAAATATTCTTTGGGGAAAAAAAACAGCTGTGGTGCCTATATGCTGTTTTTTGATTTAGGCCTTGCATTTGGCTGTAGGATCGCTGGTGAATTTGGATCTTCTTTAGCTGCCAGGATGGGTGTCAGTCCTATAATCACTTCATCCCTGTGCTCCCCACCTCCTACAAGCCTGGCATCCGACGCCAGCTGTTCATGCTGCCAGGGCAGACGGTGAATCCAGTGACATGCGAATCTGCAGGGAGCAGAGGGAATCCCGGCGGCATCAGAGCCAGCGTAGTGGCACGGCACCAACCATGCCGAGCGTCCTGTGACCGAGGCAGGAAGGCACGGCTGAGAGGCTGTTGGGTGCCAGAGCTAACTGGGCACACGTTAAAGCAGCTATAAGGCTACTTTCATTTAGGCAGCATTTAGTTTGAGATCGGCATCTAAATTTAGCTCTTTGTAGGTGTCCCATGTATGCTCTAAGCTTCTGTTAGAGTTACTAGAGATCCAGGGGTCAGCTCACTTGCCCGTATAGAAGTGCATGGTGCTATCTGCATGCCCTGTGCAGTTGAGACATGTGCATAAGGCTGGTAGGTATGACACAGACCTGTACCTTTCTGCAGTGGAAGCTGATGAGATAACTCAGATGGCACAAGATGATTCCATGTGGGCAACTGAGTCAGTCCGTAGTCATCAGTCCCCTTGTCGGCACTGAGCCTTGTGTGCCGGCTCTGTGGAGATGACAGTGCTTCAGCTGAGATGCCGCTAGCTTCCGTGTGAGCTGAATTGCCCGCTGGACTCCACTGACTCGAGTCCCACCCTTTCAGGATTCAGTTGTCTAAACATACTTCTTCAGTGTCATTTTAAGTGCTCTCAAGTTGCCTACCTAACTTCCAGCTGCTTTATCAGAGGTTGCAGGTCTCCTTGGGTCCTCTGTCATCTACCAGCCCTGTGCTTTGAGTAGCCCAGGGCATCTCAAATTGCACTGGATACCTGTGTCAGCCACTGAACTGAACCATGTCTGTCCAGGGCAAGCTGGTCCCTGATCTGATCAGGAACAAGTGCTGAAAAGCACCTTTGTTATTAAAATACCTCAAAAGTGAATGTGTGTATGAAAGCACTCTTTTTGTGTGTCAATATAATGCACTAAGCAGGATCTGTTATAAAACCACGAAAACGTGCTAAATGTTCTGTACATTCAAATTGCTTTTCTTCCTTTAATGGCACTGTCCAACCTCACTGCAACCTCACAGCTTGATATACCTGCAAGTGTCTGCAGTGAGCGCTGGTTATCGACCTAACCAGCTTAGCGGCTGCATGTATTTGTCTCACTCTCAGCAATGTCTTCACTAACCTCGCTCTGGCCCCCTGTGCTGTTCCAGCACCAGGTACTGCCAGCTCAGAGCCGGCCAGCGTCGCTCTGTGTCCCAGGGGCCACGTCTCGGGTGCTCCTTGCCGGCTGCGTAAGAGTTGGTTTCTGGTTGGAGCCACATTCCTGTATCAACCAGAAGACAGCAACGTACAGACAAACAGGGCTGGAGGGAATTGCTTAGAGCTTGGTTCTTGGAAGAGATGACCAAGAGACTGTCAGCCTGTGGGTTCTCTGCCACAGACACTACAGACGCGTACCGGAGAGTGATCTCTGTTTGCTTACCCCATCGCTGTCGCTGAAGGGGACTGCTTGCTGAAGAGCCACCTTTGTGCCATTTCACTTGGCAAACACAAAATGCCCTCGCAGCCATGGGTGAAGCAGGCATTAGCTGCCGTATGATCAATGTGTTAGTATGCCGAAAGGAAGGCAACTAAGAAATTTAAAGCAAGTTAGAGTTCTTTTCAAAGTGCTTTTGAGCGATTTAGGCTTGAAATGAGAAACCTGAAAGCGCCCAAATCCTTAGTTAATAATTTACATATGAATAAAGCTGAAGAAATGCCTGAGATTCCAGCTACTTCATTTGATTGCCTCATGTTTACACACTATGGAGCTCTTTCAGGGAGTACAAGATGTTTGTCATTTGGGTTCCCCAGGATGTTGACATATTTTCCAAGGCTGATGGAATGCATTTGCATGTTTTGCCCTACAGAATTGTATAGGCCTAACTTGTTTTGACATCTACATGTGAGTTCCATATTAGCCTTTAGACTGCTATTGTAAATGTTGCTTTTAGTTATTGAAAATGGCTTCCTTCCTGCCAGGCAGACAGCATTCAAGTTTTCCAATTGTGATTTTTTTTGTGTACACATGGGGTTTTGAACTGTTCTTAGAAGATTAAGGAATGGTTTTCCTTTGAATACTCGGGATGCAGACAGAAGGCTCTGATGCTACTGGCTGGAAATCCTTCAAGAGAAAAATATGCTCCTTCATGGAGACTTTTTAAGAGCATTTTGAAGTAAATGTGCAAATACATGTTGCAGTTGATGTGATCCCTTAACCCAATCTATTTCAGCAGTTTAGTTTTATTTTGCTTACATGTTATAAGTTGCAGAATGTAGTCATTTAGCAGATGGGTCTAGCTAGGATTCCAGGATCTTATGAGAAGTGGGGTTTTTTGTGAGATCAAAGTCTTTGTCCATTATCTGAACAGAGAAATGTCACATATGAAATTCAGCTGAGACACTGAATTTGTCACCATTAACATTTGTATCTGTGTTGCGCACTGCAGAAGATAAAATATATTTTCCTTTCAGAATTGTCATGGTTTTAAGTATTTTCATCAGGTCATGGTCCATAAGGGGTAGCTTCCAGTTTTGGCCCTGCGGAGTATGTGCAACATTATCTGGGCAATGGAGACAGAAAATAGCAGTTGGCCCTTTTGGATCTTTTTGTCCTATCCAAGTGCTCCTTGTGCATTTACACAGTGGGATTCAGTTGCCTAAACCTATGTACTGATTGTGTTTTCAAAGCTATAGGATAGCTGGCCTGGCCTCCAGCTGGTGCTCCAGAAGGGCACAGATCTCTGGTAGGAACCATGTTGGGTCTGCCAGCCCTGTGCTTGGGTCCTCAACCACTTACGCCATTTTAAAAATGTTTTTATTCTGAAGTCCTCAAACTTGAGGATGAGTGTGCTTGGTAGGCTGTTGTCCAGGGCAGCAGACTGGCAGAGGCAGTAAAATGACCATGTCCACACTGCCTTGAGGTGTCCCTGGAAATCTGGGCTGCCTGCTTCACCCTCACCAGAGTTTGTCAAGTTGTGGCTTGGCGGGGGAGAGCCCTCTCCCACATCCCTCCTCCCACAGCCACAGCAAAAGGAAATCCAAATCTTTGCTGTCTCTCTCTCCCAGCCCCCTTCACTTCCCAGTGCAGAAATAAGTGGCCCCGGCATACTTTAGGAAGCAAAGTTCAGTTTTATCTATAATGCTGAGAAACCTTGCCCAGCTTTGAAAGTATGGCAGTTACTCTGGGTTCAGCATTAGCCTCACGTGCCAGTACTGTCTGAAGGGCCCATGCTAATCTCTGTGCCTGTCTGACAGCTAAGCCAGCCTTTCGGTAGCCTCTAAGGCCGTCCTGCACGGTGTCGTACTGTGGAATCAGAGTTTTGCAGGGATTCCCATCCCTATGACATCTTGATCCAAAGCACCGTACCTCAGCTCTGGGAAACTTGTTTGACCCCGACGGCACCTTTAGCCCTACCCTAGCAGTGCGTGCTATGGCCAGGCTCCAAATGCGAGCGTTCGTTTGCCAATAGGCGTGATTTGGGACATTGTTGCCTGAGCGGTAAATGAAGAACCAATGAAAAGTGTAAGATGAGCACATATGAAAAGAAAAAGTCTTCTCTTGATGTCATTTCTCTCTCTCTCTCTCTCTCTCTTGCAGACAGGACAGGATGGGTCATCCCCGAGACCTACACCCACCCGCATTCCTGTGTCAAAAGGTATGAAAGCAGGAAAGCCAGTAGTGGCAGCCCCAGGAGCAGGAAATGTGACAAAATTCGAGCCTCGTGCCGAGACTCAGTCTATGAAAATAGAACTGAAGAAATCTTCAGCCAGCAGCTCTGCCTCCCTGGGCGGGGGTCAGGGCTGAGGGCGGTGGCTCAGGGGGTACGTTCTGCAGGTTTTACTGCTCCCACGGAACTCAGCCCCTGTCTGTGTCCTTGCTCACGTTTGCCTGCACTAATGAAGTCCTGCAGCTGTCACTTACAACAAACTAATAAGTGTGTGCACTGACTACTTAAGTAACAACATCCTTTTGTTTTTGTACTGAAGCTTAAAAAAGGGGACAAAAAAAAAGCGCCACCAAAAAGGCAGTTGTATGCCAGGACGATTTTCAGCCTAGGAAGTGAGAATGGGGCAACTACACTAGGTTATTAATCTAGTTCAGGAATTCTTAACGATAGGCTTGGTGACTTTTTAATAGATCGAAGGAAGTTTGGTCACTTTTACTAGATTGTCTTCCGCCTCCATGGATCACTTTGGCCCTTCTCTGTTGCATGGGGCACTTTCCTTCCTGCCTGTGATCACATTATTGAGATGCCGCGTTGCCTGGGGAAGCAATGCCAGGAGACAGCGCGCTCGAGCTCCTGTTTTAATGAAAGCTACTACCTCAGGTGTGGGAGGGAGGGGAAGAGAGACAGGACAACCAGCCTTCTCTCCAGGAGTCTTCCACCCAAATCAGCGTTTCTCAGTTGTGAGCTGCTTTCTCAAGGCAGTTACAAAATTTAAGCTGGTGGGGAGGTTGCACAATGTTCGGCAGCAGCAGCGCTAAGCAGCAGCTATTTTTTTCCAGAGGGGGTTAACACTTGCAGGCAGTACTTACAACCAGGTCCCTGACTTACACACCCTGGGATACTGCCAGCTCAGGGGTCAGATGAAGGCAAGTGAGCCAAAAGGTGTTTAGTCTTCAGGAAAAGCTTGAGAAACATTGATCTGGCTAAAATCAATACAGTCCATTTGTGCCGGCTCCAAAGACCACTAAAGGCTATGAAGCAAGTCGTTCCAATGACTTCACTGTGTTTGCAGTTTTCCTGGTTGGATGAACTTGTGCTATATTTAAGCCTTAGTTGCCAAGCATCCTTATGTGTTAGAGGGGAAGTCAGCACAGACTGCTGGCGGCTGAAATTGCTACCTGAAGGCACAGCTCAGGTACAGAGAGTGAAAGAGATAGGATTTAGTATGGAAGTTACTTTCAGTTCTCAGTTGTTTGAAATATTTTGTCTTAAATACAGACCGCCTCACAATACCATGGCAATTCATCGTTTTTCCTTCCTCCTTTGTGATTTCCTCATATGTTTGCATTTTTAAGCATGTTTTGAGGAATTGTTCCAGCATGGAAATGGTGTGGATGCTGATGATTGTTATGATTGTTTACTTAATAACAGTAAAGTTACTAAAGGGCATTTCCATTAAGTGATTGATTTCCACAGAAGAAAGTCACAACCAAAAGAAATGGAGCCAAGCAGACTGATAAATGAGGGGTTTAAAGCTTGTATAATACCTCAACCACTACAACAAGCTGTAAAGGACCCAGTGGTTGGGAATAGCTTTCAGAAGGTGAGGCAGGAAAACCACCAATAAATAATAAATACAATTCACAGAAAAGAAAATGCACCAGCGGGTGAAATATTAAATGGCTTTCCATCCAGGAGAAGAAATTTGATGGAAGAATCTGCCACAGAAGGTCAAGAAAATTATATTCAGTCCAAGCAATGTTTAGTCTTCAGTCGGCACTTTGCATTGCTCTCCAATTTAAGATCCAGATACGGCCATTATCCCAGCGTAAAGCTGGCATTTTGTTATTCACGTGAAGGGCTGTGGTGTAAAAGCTGCTGCTGCATCAGAAATGAAAGTAGGTTTCTATATTTACACATGTGGCACCTACAATACCTGTTAATTTTAAGGTTCTGGTTCCTACGACATCTGAAAATCAGATTTGTATTGGTAGCATTTTTCATAACACTCAATTCCAGTAATTCAGATAAAACTTGGAAACTGGAATTAGCAAGCAAAGTGAGTTACTATGCCAGAAATACATCAGATCCTTTCAACTAACTGTTACCACTTAAAAGCCACAATTTGTCAATAAATTGTTGCCGAGATCTTACTGTTCTTATTGTAGCATAGACTTTTTAGCAGATGTTTGAGGAAAACACATTTTTAAGAGCTTTTTGCTGGATATTCACTCTAAATACTGGCACTGAAGCAAGTCTTCAGGTCAAAACAGTCATTTAAATAATATTATGAACATGAACCCCAAGCTAATGTGGCTTGATGCAGTGATGAACTACAGCTGCCTTAAGCCTTCCTTTTCAGATCCTTGTTTCAAAGAAACTTAATTGCTTAGTTAACTGTTGCTGTACCCAAAGCAATATGTGATGTGTGCCTGGGGTTGAAAAATTTGTTCTGCTTCAGATCTAAGAAACCAACTCACCTGAAGAAAGAAGCCAGCCTTACAGTACCTGAAATCCAGGACACACAAATTAGCACAGCTGAACCAGAACTGCAGGCACAAGGCAGGGGTTACTCTTGTAGAGTCAGTAGGATTTCATGAGACAGACTCAAGAAATTCCAGACGGGTCAGACTGAGGACCCTGTTATTTTTCCCAGGGGCAGCACAACAAAAAGGAACTTTTGCTCCATAGCCGAAGCCTGAAGAGTTGGAATCAGGCAGCTCATTTAACCATTAGCTAAAAATAGGTATTTAGTTGTACACATCATTTTTAACATCTGTTTTAATTGACCTGAGATTCTTGTTTCTTAAAGGTAGAAGAAGGGTAAGATGAAGAAAAAAGAAAGCCTATAGTTCAGAAATCTTAAAAGTTGAAGCCTAACTGTCTTTATTATATTGGAATTTCCTCTGCATCTGAAGACAGTTTAGTTTAGCCAAACCAGGACAGACGACAGTAAGATTCTCCATTCAGTAGGTCAGCTCCAGAAGGCAATTTAGACAACCAAGTCTAAAGACAGTGCCTAAGCCCCAGAGGCATCCTGAAGATCTTGCTGAAGTTCCCACCGCCCTTGTTTAGTCAGTGTTTCAGTCGTGATTTAGCTAGCGCTGCAGCCTCTGAACTTAATCGAGGTCCACAATCTAGGTATTCTTGTGTTTCCTCTGAGGGCTTTAAGTCAAGCCATGATTTCATGGTCACTTAAAGTCAGGATGTAACCCCACACTGCAGTCAAAAGCTGCAGTCCTGTCTTTGTCACTTCCAGCCAAGAACGTACTCACTTCCATGTGGTTGTCCCTTGAGCTGGCACAAGTGTTTGAACTTAACTGGGGAACTGATCTGAATTAAAAGGAATCTGGCAAAAAGCATGAAGGCGAGCTTTAACAAAGCTTAGTTCCAGGCTCTCGGGCCAGAAAAAGAAAGGTGGCAGACGCAGGAAATCAGCGGCTGTTTTAAAGCAACAGTGGAATCATGAATGCCTCCTAGTAGATCAAATACCACACAAATGTAGGGGTAGTGCTGCTTATTTTAAAAAGCTTTTGTCTGAAACCTTTCTTCAAAGGTAGGAGACAGGTCCCCCTTCTCACCAGTGTCTGAGGAGATTCAAACCCGCATCAGCTCCAGCCAGGTTCACCAAGGCTCTGACAGACAGTTGAGGGGGAAGAAGGTGGCATTCTCCCTCCCTCCCTCTGTGGAGGGCTTCAGCATTCACTGGGCAGAAACAGGAGAGTGGTTGAGTGGTCAGGATGTTGAACCACGAG